TGTTAAAAGTTGACCACTGTCTGGAAAATCTTCCAGCGCCTGCCCCCAACATCTTGCTCCTGGGGGATTTCAACTTGAGGCACCTAAAGTGGAGGAACATAGCAAATAATGTTGTTGGAGTGATAACACCAGGAGGCAGCTCTGACGAGAACTCACACACACGAGCTTTTAAATCTCTGCACAAAATTCAACTTAAACCAGCAAATAATGGAGCCTACTAGACTGGAGAATACACTAGACCTCATCTTCACTAACAATGATGATCTGATACAAAATGTCACCATATCAAAAACAATATACTCGGATCACAACATAATCAAGGTTCAGACATGTATGCGCGGAGCCCCAGACCGACAAAATGAGATTTAGTCACGAGGGAGCCTTCACCAAATTCAACTTCAATAACAAGAACATAAAGTGGGACCAAGTAAACCAAGTCCGAAATGATATTAGCTGGGAAGATAGACTGAACAACATAGACCCCAACTTATGCCTAGAACAGATTAACTCGGTGGCACTCGATGTATGCTCAAGGCTTATTCCTTTAAGAAAAAGGAGGAGTAGATGTAAAGTAGAAAGAGACAGGTGCTCCCTTTGCAGGCGACGGAAAAGAATAACAGAGCGGTTAACAGAGGCCAATATATCTGAAATGCGTAGGGAGACACTGGTCAGAGAAATAGCAAACATCGAACTTAAGCTAAAGGAATCTTATAGGAGTCAGGAATCGCGTGAAGAACTAAAAGCCATAAATGAAATCGAAAGAAACCCAAAGTATTTCTTTTTTTATGCCAAATCAAAATCGAGAACAACATCCAGTATTGGGCCCCTACTTAAACAAGATGGGTCCTACACAGATGACAGCAAGGAAATGAGTGAGCTACTCAAGTCCCAATATGACTCAGTTTTTAGCAAGCCGCTAACCAGACTGAGAGTCGAAGATCAAAATGAATTTTTTATGAGAGAGCCACAGAATTTGGTAAACACAAGCCTCTCTGATGTTATCTTGACGCCAAATGACTTTGAGCAGGCGATAAATGACATGCCCATGCACTCTGCCCCAGGGCTAGACTCATGGAACTCCATGTTCATCAAGAACTGCAAGAAGAACCTATCATGAGCTTTTACCATCCTATGAAGAGGGAGCATGGACACGGGGTGTCCCACATTTTCTAAAAACAACAGACAGACCTACAGCACTAACATCCCACATCATAAAAATCTTTGAAAGGGTCCTAAGAAGCAAGATTGCCACCCATCTGAATACCCATCAATTACACAACCCAGGGTTTAGAGCAGGTCGCTCCTGCTCCTGAGGTCCTAGATGCACTAGAAGACAAAAAGAATGCAGATGTAATATATACAGACTTTGCAAAAGCCTTTGACAAGTGTGACCATGGCGAAATAGTGCACAAAATGCGTGCTGAAGGAAAAACAGGAAAGGTTGGTAGATGGATCTATAATTTCCTCACAAACAGAACACAAAGTGTAGTAGTCAACAGAGTAAAGTCTGAGGCAGCTACAGTGAAAAGCTCTGTTCCACAAGGCACAGTACTCACTCCCATCTTGTTTCTCATCCTCATATCTGACATAGACAAGGATGTCAGCCACAGCACCGTGTCTTCCTTTGCAGATGACACCCGAATCTGCATGACAGTGTCTTCCATTGCAGACACTGCAAGGCTCCACTTGGACATCAACCAAATCTTTCAGTGGGCTGCATAAACAATATGAAGTTCAATGATGAGAAATTTCAATTACTCCGATATGGTAAACATGAATAAATTAAAACTTCATCAGAGTACAAAAATTCTGGCCACAAAATAGAACGAAAAACCAATGTCAAAGACCTGGGAGTGATCATGTCGGAGGATCTCACCTTCAAAGACCATAACATTGTATCAATCGCATCTGCTAGAAAAATGTCAGGATGGATAATGAGAGCCTTCAAAACTAGGGATGCCAAGCCCATGATGATGCTCTTCAGGTTGCTTGTTCTATCTAGGTTGGAATATTGCTGCACACTAACAGCAACTTTCAAGGCAGGTGAAATTGCTGACCTAGAAAATGTACAGAGAACCTTCATGGTGTGCATAATGGAGATAAAACACCCCAATTGCTGGGAGCGCTTGAAGTTCTTGAACCTGTACTCCCTGGAACACAGGCGGGAGAGATACATGATTATATACACCTGAAAAATCCTAGAGGGACTAGTACTGAACTTGCACACGAAAATCACTCACAACGAAAGCAGATGATGCAACATCCCCCCAGTGAAAAGCAGGGGTGTCACTAGCACGTCAAGAGATGATACAGTAAGTATCAGGGGCACGAGACTGTTCAACTGCCTCCCAGCATACATAAGGGGGATTACCAAAGACCCCTGGCAGTCTTCAAGCTGGCACTGAACAAACGCCTAAAGTCGGTACCTGACCAGCCAGGCTGTGGCTCGTACGTTGGATTGTGTGCAGCCAGCAGTAACAGCCTGGTTGATCAGGCTCTGATCACCAGGAGGCCTGGTCACAAACCGGGCCGTGGTGGCACTGACCCCCAGAACTCTCTCCAGGTAAACTCCAGGTAGTATGAGAATACTACAGTTGGGTTAAAGTCAGTAATGTTTTGGGTAGTTATTTATATCACAAGGTTGTTTTAATCAGTGTATGAACTTTGGGTGTCCCATTTTGAAGTTTTAAGATTTAGGTAACCTGGAGATTTTTTGGTAAAGTTAAATATTCAGTATTTAGTTTAGGGTGAGTAAGTGATTTTTGAGAAGAGTCTTAAATTGACATTCAGACTGGGTTATTTTAGTATTTACTAGTAATGAATTCCAAATTTTGGGACCCTTTATGTGCATAGAGTTTTTACACAGTGTAATATGGACACATCAAAAAGAGATCTGTGTCTTGTGTTATGGTCGTGTGACTTGTCAAGGTTGGTGAGGAAAAGTTTGAGTGAAGGGTTTATGCTTGAGCGTAGTGTTCTATGTATATAGTAGGCACAGAGTAAGTATGGATGTTCTTTATGGTGAGCAGATTTAGACTTTTGAATATTGGTGGAGTACGCTGTCGGGAGTGGGAATTTATCATTCTGACTGCAGCCTTTTGCTGGGTTATTAGTGGCCTTAGGTGATTTAATGTTGTTGATCCCCGAACACAAATCCATATGTAAGATAAGGGCAGATGAATGAATGATACAGTGCAAGGAGAGCCGATTGCGGAACATAGTACTGTATCTTTGATAGTATGCCTACTGTCTTAGAGATTTTCTTGGAAATTTGTTGTATATTTGTCTGGAATTTGTGGCTATTGTCAAGGTGGATTCCTAGGAATTTTCCCTCTGTGAGTCTTGTGATAGGTAATCCGTTTAGCATTATGTTAAATGGAACATTTGCAGTTGTTTCCAAACTGAACGAAATAGGTTTTGTCAGTATTGAGGGTAAGCTTATTAGTCATCCAGGTAGATATTTTCTGCAATTCGGCATTAACAGTGTTGGCCAGTTTGAGTAGTTGTGATGCATTCAGTAGGTCATTGATGTAAATGAGAAAGAGGAGTGGGCCAAGGACACTTCCTTGTGGAACACTGGCTGTGATTGGTTGACACATATTGTGTACACATATTGGCTTCTGTTACTAAGGTATGGCTTAAGGTAGTTGAGGGAGTGCCCTCTTATACCATAATGTGTTAATTTAATGTGCAGCAAATCATGGTCGACAGTATCAAAAGCTTTACATTATTATTATTATAATAAAAAAGAAGCGCTAAGCCACAAGGGTTATACAGCGCTGCAAAAGCTTTACATAAATCAGTGAAGATTCCCAGCGGTACTTCTTTCTTTTCGAGAGCAGTGTATATTAGTTCTAGCATGTGTATAATAGCATCATTTGTGCTTTTATTATTCTTGAATCCAAACTGACAGGGGTTTAGTATGTTGTGTGAGACAAGGTAGGAATAGCTCTGTCTGTGAATTAATTTTTCAAAGATTTTAGAGATCAGAAGTAAGTTGGAAATTGGTGTATAGTTATTCAAGTATGCTTGATCACCTCCTTTGTGGATCAGGCTGACCCTCGCTATTTTGAGAATTGCAGGGAAGGTGGAGGATTTGATGGATTTGTTAAAGAGTGTTGCAGTTATTGGTGACAGTACTTGTGAAGCTTTTTTGTACATTAGATCATGTTCATTAGCTGCATAATAACTCTTACCTGTGATTAATTTTCTTACAACAGTTTTATCTTTCCTCACAAAGCACCATTGGTTTTTCCCTCCAGTCGGGGTTTCATTAGGCTATAGAGGTTCTGTCTTTTCTCAGTAATACACTCGCTAGCATAAATCATTTATTGTATTGAAATTGAGAACATTGCTACTTATAACCAATTCCATTATACAGTAGTACCTCAGGATATGAGCTTATTTCTTTCCAGAAGGCTGTTCAAGTGCTGATACCAAACAAATTTGTTCCCATAAGGAATAATGTAAATTAGATTAATCCGTTTCAGACCCCCAAAAATACACTTACAAAAGCACTTACATAAATACTCTTACGTAACTGTTCACTTTTTGAGCTGTTCATATCCTGAGGTGCCACTGTATTCCTGTGCTGTATGTTGTTGCATCCTATGAAAGCTTTAGTGTTACAGATCCTTCAGAAGAGGTGCCTTGATGCTGGTGAAGGACTCTTGACCTGAAGAACTGTAGATACCTGCTTCTTCCTTGTATGAAACCTGTTTATTGTACCTCTCATTTGTCAGGTGCTGAATAAAAACTTTTTAGGTTCAGCTCTTTCCTATAAATATAATATAACACAGTAATAATTGGTAACAGACCTTCCTAAAAAAATTCAAGTTGATTGGTTTATAATTATAATTGGTATACATTGGCTACCCTTATAATTAAAATTCAGATATCGACATACACAATAATTTGAAAGACCATCATAGTATGCAAAACATTTCTGGAAATCTGTAGGATGATTATGCATCCCTTTTCATACATAATTTAAATTCCAGAGAAAGAGGAGGAGGAGATGATGGAAGAGAAGGAGGAAGAGGAGGATCAGCATCCATTCACTCAGAGAAGACAAAGCCTAGTGTAAACACCAAGAACATGAAGAACAAGGGAAATGTGGCCATAACAGCATCACCTAGGACCAGCCAGGTGTCTGTGCTCAGTGGAGTGTGTGCCATAGCCAAGTGGCCATTTCTCGTGTCACTGTTCCTTCATATTGTGGCAGAGACCTTTAACTTCCTCACACCACAGCTTCTCAGGTGACATAATGCATGTCTCTACTTTTTGACTCCTTGTTGCTTAATAATAATAGTATGAAAGGTGACTTTAATAACAAATACATAATGTGGGGAAATATGCATATTTTTAGTCTGCCTCTACTATACAGTATTACCAATCAATCAGCTCCCTTACTCTCTCCAAAAACCATGCCTTAAAACTACTTGAATGATCTCATTCATTCTTCTGATCTTGCCCACTTTTCACTTGCAGTTGCCTGATTGGCTTCATCACCAACAACACAGAGCCAGCATGGCATGGTTATGTGTATGCCGTGGCACTCCTCTTCACCTGTGAGCTGACAAGTCTCTTCAAGAACATGTACTTCAATATTGCCCTCAACATCTCTATTAAGCTAAGATCAGCACTCATGACTGCTGTCTATAGCAAGGTTAGCAGCTGTCTGAGTGAGAATCTTTTCCATTGAATATTTGACAGAAATGTGGTAAGAAGTAAGTTGGTGCTTATCCCCCTGAAAGATTTACCTCCTGGTCTCTCTCCCTCTCTCTGTGTCTCTATTTCTCTCTGTCTCTCTCTCTGCTGTTTCCCACCAAGGCAGAGTGACCCAAAAAGAAACACTTTCACCATCATTTAGCACTTTTGCCATCATTTACACAATATCACTGTCTTTGCAGAGGTGCCCAGACTTGACAGTTTAGATGTCACTCCAAACACCCAGTGTCCCAGACCCCTCCTTTAAAGTGCAGGCATTTGTGCTTCTCACCTCCAGGACTCAAGTCCAGCTAACTGGTTTCCCTGAATCCCTTCACAAAGTATTACCTTGATCACACCCCAACAGCTCATCAGGTCCCAAAAACCATCTTCATTTACTTTTGTCTAACACACTCACACATGCCTGTTACATTTCCAGGCCCCTTACACACAGAACTTATTTTACACCCTCCCTCCATTGCTCATGGCATTTTGGTTGACTTTTACAACACGCATGGCTTACGGAGGAAAATTTTTTATTCCATTTCCTTATAGATATGAAAGGAAAATAATAAGAACAAGAGCTGTTAAGAAAGGCCAAAGAAAACTCAGGTGGGTGTGTATACATAAATGTGTACATACATGTGTAGTGTGACCTAACTGTAAGTAAAAGATATACCTGTTATTTTTTATGTTTTTGAGTTAGAGAGAGACATCAGCACTCCTGCCATTATGTAAAACAAATACAGGTTTCTGTCTTACACTCATTTAGCAGGACAGTAGTACCTCCCTGGATGGTTGCTGTCTACCAACCTACTAGTACTTTATATATTCTAGCAAGCCTGCGTGAGTGTGTTAGATAGGAGTTAATGGAGACGAATGTTTTTTGGGACCTGATGAGCTGTTGGAGTATGAGCAGGGTAATATTTCGCGAAGGGATTCAGGGAAACCAGTTAGCCAGACTTGAGTGCTGGAAATGGGAAGTACAGTGCCTGCACTTTAAAGGTGTTGTTTTGGGTATTGGCAGTTTGGAGGGACATCTAAGTGCCTCTGCAAAGAGAGTAATTATGTATGTGTTACGTTGTTGTCCCATATACTTTGATAATATGGTTCTCACTGCATGTTCTAGTGTGAGGGTAGCTTTTACATTAAGGCCTTATCAGTCTAGGGTAATACTTGCTTTCATATTTGATTCTCCTCAGTGTCTCTGGAATCCCTTTTCCAGCCCTCTTCACAGGTTATTTTAACTAATATTACAAAAATATATATATTCAGGTAGATATATACAGAATATACAATATACAAAACATAAGCCTGCACACCCCTTAGCTGTTCTTCTAGGACAGCCCACATGGTGCATCTGAGCAATTTGCTCTTCTTTCTTCTTGACTAATCTCTAGACTAGCCAGTGTTTTGACACACCATAGTCACCCTGGGTATGATGGTCACAACTTATTTATTTATTTTATGTCTTTGCAACATAATCAAGGTTCAGACATGTATGCGCGGAGCCCCAGACCGACAAAATGAGATTAGTTTACCTGGAGAGAGTTCCGGGGGTCAACGCCCCCGCGGCCCGGTCTGTGACCAGGCCTCCTGGTGGATCAGAGCCTGATCAACCAGGCTGTTGCTGCTGGCTGCACGCAAACCAACGTACGAGCCACAGCCCGGCTGATCCGGAACTGACTTTTGGTGCTTGTCCAGTGCCAGCTTGAAGACTGCCAGGGGTCTGTTGGTAATCCCCCTTATGTGTGCTGGGAAGCAGTTGAACAGTCTCGGGCCCCTGACACTTATTGTATGGTCTCTTAACGTGCTAGTGACACCCTGCTTTTCATTGGGGGGATGGTGCATCGTCTGCCAAGTCTTTTGCTTTCGTAGTGAGTGATTTTCGTGTGCAAGTTCGGTACTAGTCCCTCTAGGATTTTCCAGGTGTATATAATCATGTATCTCTCCCTCCTGCGTTCCAGGGAATACAGGTTTAGGAACCTCAAGCGCTCCCAATAATTGAGGTGTTTTATCTCCGTTATGCGCGCCGTGAAAGTTCTCTGTACATTTTCTAGGTCGGCAATTTCACCTGCCTTGAAAGGTGCTGTTAGTGTGCAGCAATATTCCAGCCTAGATAGAACAAGTGACCTGAAGAGTGCCATCATGGGCTTGGCCTCCCTAGTTTTGATGCAACATCCCAGCAATTCCAGGAACAGCTGTTAAAAATTGACCACTGTCTGGAAAATCTTCCAGCTCCTGCACCCAACATCTTGCTCCTGGGGGATTTCAACTTAAGACACCTAAAATGGAGGAATATAGCAAATAATATTGTTGCAGTAATAACACCAGGAGGCAGCTCTGATGAAAACTCACACTCACACGAGCTTTTAAATCTCTGCACAAAATTCAATTTAAACCAGCAAATAATAGAGCCTACTAGACTGGAGAATACACTAGACCTCATATTCACTAACAATGATGATCTGATAAGAAATGTCACCATATCAAAAACAATATACTCAGATCACAACATAATTGAGGTTCAGACATGTATGCGAGGAGCCCCAGACCGACAAAATGAGACTAGTCACGAGGGAGCATTCACCAAATTCAACTTCAATAACAAAAACATAAAGTGGGACCAAGTAAACCAAGTCCTAACCGATATAAGCTGGGAAGATATACTAAGCAACACAGACCCAAAACTTATGCCTAGAACAGATTTAACTCAGTGGCACTCGATGTATGCCACAAGGCTTATTCCTCTAAGAAAAAGGAGGAGTAGATGTAAAATAGAAAGAGAAGGCGCCCCCTTTACAGGCGCGGGAAAAGAATAACGGCGGCTAAAAGGGAAATTTTGAAATGCGCGGGAACACGGGTCAGAAAAAATGAAAGCATCGAACTTAAGCAAAAAGAATCCTTTAGGAGTCGGGAATCGGGGGGAAGAACAAAAAAGTAAAATGAAAGAAAGAAACCCCCAAAGTATTTTCTCCATGCCAAATAAAAACGAGAACAACCCCCGTTTTGGGCCCCCCTTCAAAAACAAAAGGGGGTCCACACAATGACGAAAGGAAATGAGTGGCTACTCAAGTCCCAATATGACTCAGTTTTTTGCAAGCCGCAAACCAACTGAGATCAAAATCAAAATGAATTTTTATGGGGGAGCCACAAAATTTGTTAACACAAGCCTATCGATGTTATCCTGACGCCCAAAAGATTCGAAAAGGCGATAAAGGGTGCCATGCACTTGCCCAGGGCCAATCAGGAACCTGTGTTCACAAGAACTGCAAGAAAACCCCTTCACACCTTTTTCCCTCCCATGGGGAGGGAGCATGGACACGGGGGGGGTCCCCCGTTACTAAAAAAAAACAGCAAGCCCAATCCACAAAAGGGGGCAGTAAAGCAACGCAAAGAATACAGCCAATAGCACTACTCCCTATCTAAAAAACTTTGAAAGGGTCCTAAAAGCAAGATCACCCCCCATCTAGAAACCCCAGTTACAAACCCAGGGAACATGGGTTTAGAACAGGTCGTCCTGTCTGTTCAGTCTGGATCACTACGACAGGTCCAAATGCATGAAACAAAAAAAATGCGATGTAATATATACAGATTTCAAAAGCCTTCGACAAGGTGACCCTGGCGTAATAGGCACAAAAAATGCGCATAAAGGAATAAAAGGAAAAGTCGGTCGATGGATTATAATTTCCCATAAAAAACACAAGAGTAGTGTCAACAGAGTAAAGTCCGAGGGAACGGGGAAAAAACTCTGTTCCCAAGGCACAGTACTCGCTCCCTTTGTTCCTATCCCCTTTTCGACTGACAAGGATGTCACCCCAGCACCGTGCTTCCTTTGCAGATGACACCCAACTGCAAACAGTGTTTCCTTGCAGACACTGCAAGGCTCCAGGCGGGGGCTCAAAAAAATCTTTCATGGGTGCAGAAAACAATTGAAATTAAAGTTTTAGAAATTCAATTACTCAGATATGGGGAAACATGAGGAAATTAAATCTTCATCAGGTACAAAACAAATTTTGGCCACGAAATGAGCGAAACACCAACTCAAAAACCTGGGGGTGATTTTGTCGGGGGATCTCACCTTCAAGGACCATAACATTGTTTCAATCGCATCTGCTAGAAAAATGACAGGATGGAAAAAGAGAACCTTCAAAACTAGGGAGGCCAACCCCATGATGACACTCTTCAGGTCACTTGTTCTATCTAGGCTGGAATATTGCTGCACTCTAACAGCACCTTTCAAGGCAGGTGAAATTGCCGACCTAGAAAATGTACAGAGAACTTCACGGCGCGCATAACGGAGTTTAAAACACCTCAATTACTGGGAGCGCTTGGGGTTTTCCCTAAACCTGTATTCCCTGGAAGCAGGGGGGGGGGGGGAGGAGATACATGATTATATACACCTGGAAAATCCTAGAGGGACTAGTCCGAACTTGCACACGAAATAAACTCACTACGAAAGCAAAAGACTTGGCAGACGATGCACCATCCCCCCAATGAAAAGCAGGGGTGTCCTAGCACGTTAAGAGACCATACAATAAGTGTCAGGGCCCGAGACTGTTCAACTGCCTCCCAGCAAAACATAAGGGGGGTTACCAACAGACCCCTGGCAGTCTTCAAGCTGGCACGGGGCAAGCACCTAAAGTCAATTCCTGATCAGCCGGGGTGTGGCTCGTACGTTGGTTTGCGTGCAGCCAGCAGCAACAGCCTGGTTGATCAGGCGCTGATCCACCCGGGGCCCGGCACAGGGCCGGGGCCCCGGGGGCGTTGACCCCCGAAACTCTCTCCAGGTAAACTCCAGGTATCCATCCTGTCATTTTTCTAGCAATGCGATTGAAAACAATGTTATGGTCCTTAAAGGTGAACCCTCGCAGATCACTCCCAGGTCTTATTTTTGGAAGGAGCCCACCAAATTAATTTCATACAAGAACAAAGTGGGACCAGACATGGGTCTCAGGG